CAGAGGACTTCACCATTGAAATTCACCAGAGCTATAATTTAACTGACAATGCCCACGTGCATGGTAGTTGGATGTTGGAATACATCTGATAAAAGTGAAAGTAGGGTAAAAGCTCAATAGCCGATACTGCACCATGACATCACACAGGTAGGTGGCAGTAGTGTTCTTTGACAAACATGGATGCCTCCAGTAAAGTAGATTTAAATGAAAATTACTCTTAATTAAAATTAATAATTTCATATTTAAAGTACTTTCAGAAGTTTGAATTCTGAATATGAGCAGACATTTCCTTTAACACGAGCAGTTCAAAGCTGTGTTACTTTTTTTTTTAATCTGTGACTGTTAGATACATAAAAAGCAGTACTGCAGAGAATTGTACAGGAGCTGGAGGCATGTGCTTATCCTGTGGCATGTAAACTCAAAGGAGAGCATTAGGTAGTTCAGGACCACGGATAGTTCCTTTAGCACAAGTAACGGGAGAAAACAACAGCGGAATAAACTTTTGATCATAAAATGAATAAAAAAACATTAATGCATTTTAAATGCCAGCACTTTAGGCCACCACAGAGTCACAACATTTAGACATTAATAATATGAAGTCCATTCAGCAAAATTTCATGGTTGGAAATGACATTCAGTGGCTTAAAACTCTGCAGTTCATTTCCCAGGTCGCTATCGGGCAACCAATGCACTGCAGTGGACAAGACAAATAACTCTACAGTTTAACTTGCTTTTATTTCATATCTTCTGGGCAAACACAAGTCAATGTGTACCCAGCTTTGCAGCTCTATGTGGACATTCTCTACAACTGGCTAAGAGAAAAATATTAGTTATTAGGGCAATTTCCTACAAAGGATAGGGAGGTACAGCTGACCTGAAAATTAATGTGTTTCCTTTTAAAAATCAGACCCTGGAAAATACTGGCTGTTTCCTGTAAAAGCTTAATGTATAATAATGTGTTTAAGAAAACAAATCATTACACACTAGGAAAAATAATGAGTTTGTTTTCTGCTAAAACAAAATTCTCAATTAGTCTCACATCACAACCACTGTTTACCTTCACTCCTTCAACACAAACACACCAACCAGAGCATAGCAGGCTGCTGAGAAAATAAAGATTTGTTTGACTAAAAAACAATGTCAGTAGGTGTCAAAGGTTAGTGTTCAAAAAGGAAGAGATTTTATCTAAACTACAGGACCCCACCTGGTTATAAGAGCTAATTAATAAACAGCTCCCAGTCTCAGTTATTGTTTTAGGAATACCTGCCTGCTGTGGTTTGGTATCATAGAACCACAGATAATAGATTTCATCCACACACTTAAGGTCTTTGGCACCCTGCTCACACACAGAATAATAAGATTATTAGAGGAACAGATTGGGTAAAAAAAAAAAAAAAAGTTATAAAAATGTCCATGTGGTATAAAATTATTCTGTGTTGGGCAGGTAATCCAGCAGTTTAGGAATATGCGTAATCACTTTATGCTGATGAAATCATGCTATACTATATGGTTTATAAAACTGTGGTTAAGTAAAAACTATTTCAGCTTTTCTCTCAAAAGACTTAAACTTTGATTATTGCTCCATAAAATAAGAAACAGTTCTTTGGTGTTTTAGGCTTCTCTGTTAGTCCAACTCAGAAACCTGTGGGACATTTGGACTCTGTAATGTAGTGTATATAGAGCAACCCAATGTAACTGAACAGACAATGACATCTAGATCTATAGATCTAGATCAAATGTAAGGTTTTTCATGCTAATGATAAAATCTTCCTTATGTTCAAAGGTTACCTGTGGAGTACCAC